GATAACGTAAGAAAAGTAGTTTAAATGTTTTGCCACTTGCTTGAGCAACGTAATATATAAATCTAGAAGTAAATGCAAAAGTAAAAAGCATTGAATAATGTATTGCTTATATTTATTGTGTTTAAACGTGTCTGTGAAAGATCACTGCACTGTGTAAAAAAAGAATTGTAAATGATAAAAAAGAAGGCTTTAAAAAGATCTGTATCGGTGATCGATATCGGCAGATACTGCTTTCTGTGATCGACGATCGGCCTCAAAAATCCTGATCGGAGCACCCCTAGTTAAAGCTTCAATGTACTGTCAAAAAAAACCTTCATTGTTGTTTATTTAATTCTAACAAATAAGTTCTTGTTAAAAACTAACCAACATGTAAAATATTTTGCTTATAATTTCTGCACAGGAGAGACTTGGTGTTGTTTCCAAACCAAAGGAAATATATCGGTATCGGTCAAAATGAGTTGAATAATATCGGATATCGGCAAAAATCCAATATCGTGCATCCCTAGAATACACAAAATCACATACAAATTGCTCATGCCCATTTCATTTGTGAACACGATGCAAATTCACTGACCTCTTCCGGAGTCGCCATGAAGTTAATGGCTGTGTAATGCTGATCATCCTCCTGAAGCAGACTAAAGGTAAACTGGTAGTCTATCAGAAGATTATCTAGTCAGGTGGAGAAAAAAACAAACACACACACACACACACACATAAATTGTATTTGGAATTTATATTTAAATTGTTTCAGCATATAAATCATGATTATGTTAGTTAGAAAGTGATTCCTTGGCAAAAATTCTTCATGTTCATGTCATGTTGAAATCACAACATCATGGCAATCACAGCTATTCTTCAAAGTAAAACAAACTCATTGGGAGAGAGAAGCAGTTGTGATATGAAGGACTTTTTGACAGCTCACATCTGCACGAGCAACTAAAGGTCAACTTGTCCAATTCAATTGTGAACAAGGCATATGATAAATAGCAACAGGCAGAGGAAGGCTGAGGATTGATTTGATTGTCCAACGGGTCAAAATTAATATAAACTCTGCCGAGGGAAGAAAACACTGAACTGTCATTGACATTATTGCACAAAAAGATGAAAAAGCTTTCGCTGGATTCTAGTTATCATTTATGACCTTTCAGAAATCGACAGAACCTTTTATAGATTAAAAACACTTAACAATGAGTAATTTTTTTTTCATTAAAAAATAATGGTGTTTTTTGTGATTACAGTTCAATTTATTGCTAATCTAAATCATCATGACCTTGATAACACGTCATCAACCCTTAAATGAGCATTTGCAATCTAGCAAAACAAATCAAACTCTTTCTGATCCCACACCAATCCAAGAAAAACTACCAGGCCTTGTTCACAAGATGTTTATCTCTGCATATCCATGCATGACGCAGCAAATTCACACTAAACCATAGCATACTGGGAGATGTTCACAGAAAGCGAGCGAAACGAACGGATATTAGCTTTAACAAATAGCCGTGTTCATTCCACAAACCACAGAGAGAAGTAGAATTACCGCAGATCAGATCAAAGCAGCCATCTTGAGCTTATCTCTTCCTCTGACCACTCAGTACCCTCCGTTGTCATAGAAATAGAGATTCTTGCAGGTTCTCTCTCTCTTTTTCTGCTTGTTCTTGCCCCAGGTACACAGCAAAGCTATGTTTATCCCATAAGGGTCTTTTGGTAAACTTCAGAGAGTTTTTCCATCCCGTGAAGGGGATAATAAGAGCGGAAAATCTAAAAGGGAGATCAACAGGCTGCTTTGGTTTGTAGGATATACATGTAGTTATGTCTATGGTGCTTGAGAGGACACTTAGAGCTATTTATTGCCCACTCTTTTAGACTTCCTGCTGTGATGATATTACTACTTTTGAGTGTGCATCTGTGTTCACTTGCATGACTGTACATGTGTGCATGAGGGAATGCTTATCAAGCGATCATCAAGCACAATGTTAATATTAAACAAACCTAAATAACAATACAATTAAATATTTTCACTGACTCCAACATTTTTGCATTCATTCAGCTATAATAAGCCAATTAATTGTACAAATTTAGCCAGTACATCAAATTTCCCCTTAGAAAACTAAATAATGTGGTTATTTTGTGGTAATTTAATCCAGCAAAATTGTATGAAAACATGTGCTGCTATTCTATTTCAGAGGGATAAAAAAATTATTAACATATGAGGTTATTAACCTTTCATGAACTCTGGAATATTTTCACCATCATTTTATAAAACAAAACATACATAAGAAGCCAAAAGAGGACGTTCTGATTACAACCGACAACATCACTGTCATCTCGTGGCATGCTCTGGTTATGAAAAACACACATTTATTTACAATACATAATTCAATAAAGCTATTACAGGAATCTCAAATAACAGTCTCATCCAGCCAAAGTATATTTTCCTCTAAACATCCTGCAGAACACATTTCATTTCCAGGTTCGGAGGTCTGAAATGAAGCAATAACAGAAAGCCATCCCTGGCAAATGAGATCTAGGTATTTTATTTAATGTCTTTTACCATAAACGTTATCATCCTCAATTTTGGAACACCTTGCTGGCGGTAATGAGAACAGCGTAGAGTTAGGGACATCTGGAGTTGTCTTTTTTAGAAGCAGGAAAGAAAATGGCACACTGCCCTTAAATAATAAGCTGAAACAAAGTATCAAATTATATATATATATATATATATATACACATACACACACACACACACACACACACATATATATATATATATATATATATATGTATATATGTGTGTGCGTGTGTACAGAGTTTTTTGCACTGTAGACATGTATGCATAACAAAAGCACATGATTTAGCTAAACATACCTGATAATATAAGGTCAGATATTCATGTATACAAATTATTTAGCAGGTATGCTGTAGCTAAATGCCAAGTTCTGTCATGAAACTCTAGATGGCGCAGTCTGACGGGTCCCTAATGCAAACTGATGACATTCACGGCATTAAACTACTTGGCACAAGCTGATTGGTTCATGTTGCATTTGCAGCAAAAGAGCTTGCTGCTTTACATTTAAATGGCTGATTAGCATTCACTAGAGCATTTCACAGCGCACTTTCAGAGTTCCTCTGGAACGAGCCGTTTTAGGTAGGCGTGGTTAACTCTTAACTTTTATAAAGAATATCTCTTTGGATTTGAGACTTTAGTCTTTGCAACTTTACAGATCTTCTTTATGCACTAAGAGCTTGTAACACTCCAAAGAGAAAGGAAAAAATGAAATCGCATCATATGACCCCTTTAAATATTCACAGCACCGTATCGGCGTATGTATTGGCAGTAGCAAGTTCCTGTACTTGCAGCAGCAGCAGCAGCAATAATCTACAACAACAGCAATAACCAACAGCAGCAGCAATTCAGCAGTGTAGCAGATCTATTCCGCCAAATACATTAACAGTGTGATATCCATTACCATGCTAAAATCTTCAGAGAGTTGTCATGATAGAAATGCTTTTTTGCTCATGTGTACCAAAACTCAAAATACAATCTTAATTGTAGTAATTTTGCATGTTTTGAATGGCATACTACTATTTTTGCAGTATGCGCAGTGTATGCATGATATGTAACTTTTTGTTCTGCCAAATTGTGCAGTACACAGCTTGAATGCACTTAACTTGACTATCATATAGAGTGACAAATAATCTGGGCACAATATCAACCAACATCTCCATTATCACTGACTATCTGTAGTGACTTCATTTGAAAGCCCTTATTATATTTTAAAGAGGCATAAATAGAAAGAATCAATTGACATTAGTGGTTCTGGATTGATTGCCTTCAAAGCTTGAAAATCCTATTTCATCCTCATGCACTGTAACATTGTCTTGATTGGAGAAAGATACCTACATCTGAGGCTTAAAGCCAATACAATTATTTTAAGAAAATAAGATAGGCCCTTAGATGTCCAAATAAAAGTGCCTTTGTGTGCAAGCACAAAACAGTCTGACAAAGTATTTAGCTGTCTAGGCAGAATGCCTGATTAGTTTTTGATGAGGGGCCTGAGGATGTCTGCTAGTGTCTGTCTGGCTGGTGGGACACTCATTTGGGAATGTGTTTAAAACAGTAGTTATGGCTTTGATTCAGGCTGAAGGAAGTTAGCTGTCGATCAGTGTGTCAGGCATAATTATCTTTTTAGGGGTTCTTAATATCTTTTCATTGTTAAGAGTTTCAGAGCTGTCTTTAACGAATCATGGACTTGAGTTAAAGTACAATATGGTTCAAAAGTTTGGGGTTGGTAAGATTTATTTATTTATTTATTTGTTTTAGTCTTTCATACACACCAAGGCATTTATTCGATCAAAAATAAGAGTCAAAACATTAATATTGTGAAATATTACAAAAATTTAAGATAGCAATTTTCTGTTTTAATATATTTGGGTTTCTTTTTCCTATGATTGCAAAGCTGAATTTTGAGTCAGATATGTCAAATTCAGTGAGTTGCTGCCTGGATCATCCATTCAGTTAGTGAAAGAATCGTTCGATGTGATCTGTGAGCTATTTTAATAAGTTCACAGAAAAGAACTGACTCAAAAGAATGATTTGTACACAAATTGGAAATAACATTCAAGCAGGCCTTGATTTCTTCAATGGATTTATATGAAGTTTTATGTTTTTTCCCCCTGAAATTTAATGGAGCAAAAATGTAGAAAAGAAAAGATTTTCCAAAAGAATAATACAACTCTAATAGTGTGAAATTACAGTAAAGTACAGTAAAAATTACTTTATTACAGTCCACCACTGCTATGTACTATTAGAATATGATACAACATGGTAAATATGACTTCTATTATGATAAAGACAACAAATTGATGACAGTTTTGACTGCACAACATTTATCATCATGTATATGGCAATTGCAATATGACCCTAATGACACTGGAGGTCAGACTGTAATAAATAGCAATCCGTTGCGTTAGTCAAGGAGACATTCAATTACCGTTACGGTAAGTGCATTTATCGTCATCATTAGTATTACCATGTTTGATGGCCCTTGATTTTTCTCCTTGTGATAACATACATTAGTGTGTTCAAGGCTGGTCGAATTAGCCTGTTACAAAGCCGAAGCGTAAACATCAATCCCAGTCAGTGGTTAAATGTCACTGACGTTCCCTTGGGGAGTTAGACTTGTCTCGCTCCGAATTGCCTCTCCTCCATGGCTTTAATTGGTCAAATTAGTGAGTGTGTCCGCCCCGCATAGTTGAAGCCGGACAACTGAATCAGTGCACATGTGTGATGAAATCCATAGTGACAGAGTGATGGGAGCAGTGCTAGTAAGAGATAACAGCTGGATGCTGGGAGTGTGAGGTGCTGCTTGTGGTTGCTGGGATGTGTGTGTTTATATGTGTTTGACTGTGAGAGAGATTGCAGGCCAGCTGCAGTGTACACTTTAGCATTTAGTACACCATACAGGGAGTATGAAATGAAGAAGAACAGATGCTTTAATCTGAACTTGAGAGTAATCATAGATACCACAGAGGTTATTTTAACTAACCATGACTGATATCAGATGCCTTACGCCATGTGCTGTGAGTTTAACGTGCATTTGGGAACACAGCGTGTGCCAGGTTGACTTTTTCACATTACATAATTTATAACATTATAGTGGACAGAAGTTTACTTCATTTCACCAATATTCCACCAAAATAAAAGTGTGAGGCTTGAAATGTTAAAAGCTTGAGGGTTTGAACATCTGAAAGTGATGTGAGACATAATTATTAATATTGTGTGTATATATATATTCAGTGAGTTGCTGCCTGGATCATCCATTCAGTGAAAGAATCATTCAATGTGATCTGTGAGCTATTTCAATATATACATATATATTTATTGGTAAGTCAAAAGTATTTTTGGTAAGATAAAACTCACAATAATAATAATAATAATAATTATTATTATTTAATTTGATAAGGTTTCTAAAACACCATTGTGACCATTAACCGACATCAGAGAACAGTGAACGTTAATTTAAAATTAAATTATTTAAATATATTATCTTAGAATCTCAGGCGGTATACTTCAAGTACATATTTTACATTTAAGCGGTTTAACTGACAAAAAAATTGGGGGAACCACTATCTTATGGTTTGCAAATTCAGACAGCTCAAAAAATATAAGGAATAGTCCATTTTAGTGGCAAATTTAAAGTCAACTCTAAAACTTATTGGTTCATTTAGAAAAAAAAAATCAAATAAAAAAGCTTATTTTGTACCCTTTTTTTCTTTTGTGAGAAACAACATAAGGGTGCGTAATTGACAGAATTTTAGAATGTACAGTCACGTGTGTATTTATCTGCATTTTACAACAGAACATCCAATGGGAATCCTCTTTATAATTCGTGTTTCATTTCAGCTGGAAAGAAGGGGGATGCTTGAAAGGATTTGTTGACCACAGGAGGATATGATGCAGTGCGCTATCAATCATGAAGTGATATAACAGTATTGTGCTGCAGAGACTAGAGGGGAGGTCAATTATAAATAATGCATTGGTAATAAATCCTCCTATATACAGGGAAAGCGAGTCTGATCTGCTCATAAAAGCCTTGCAAACCCCTCACACGTGCCTTTGACACACAGTCATCTCTTATGTGTGTTGATTAATCATAATACTGAGAACCTTTCTGCCACAAGGCACCTTTTGCCTTTGTAGTGCAGTAGATAACACAAATGTCTGGGTAACCAACAAAAAAAGAAAAAAAAGAAAAAGTGTTTAGAAGCAAGAGTCACACAAATAGCTAAGAACAGAATGGATCACCTACTGATGATTTTGCGTCCATTAAAATAAATGGGCTGTCTGGATGTGCTCTGCTTATCGGAGACTGTAATCAAATGGAGCTTAGTTTAAAAAACATTCACTGGTGGCATTGAAGGGCTGTTTACGTAAGCCTGGTTTGGTTGGTCAAATCTGGTCTGGGATGGAATTTCTGGGAAAGTGGTAGTGACAAGAGTAATGATTTAGAACAGCTTCTTTCTTTCTTTTTTCTTTGAGTACTGACTTAGTTTAATTTCCTGCTGTCTTGAAGTTTGTGTGGATGAGCTCTCAGTCATTTTCAAGAGAACCTGTGTCTGCTGCTTCTGAAGATGATGGTTCTGTTCTGTGGCTGTGCCATTTTCTGTATATCTTTTCCTATTTTGTGGACGGATGAAGTTATGACCGCTCTGAACTGTTAAATCTTGAAAACTGGACTAGTACTAGAGCTGTAAGGCTGCCATCTAGTGCTCTGAATGTAAACTAAATCTATACTGTGTGTGAGACAGAGATTTTCTGTGATAGACAGAGAATGCTAAGCAGGCAGAGCTAGAGATACAAAGCACAACAGCTTGACATAAACATCATGGATTACTGCAAAATTGTTGCTTGTAATCACATAATAACTAATGTTGACTAGAGTTGTGGCACAGTGAGTGGTGCACATGTTCACAACATGTAAGAGTAACAGTGCTCAAGGGATTCGGGATTTCATTCTTAAGTTAAAAATAATAATAATAGTAATAAATTGTGCTAAAAATTGAGGGCGTAAAAACAACAACTTGTACATTGTAACTGATGCACATTCTGGACATGCATTAGTGGCACCTGTGAAAATAGTCAAAAAATATAAAGTCCTTTCATTACAAAATAGAATAAAAATAAAATATAAGGAAATAAAATAAATTGTTTACCCTGTAAACACAATGGAAAAATATTTTAATATTTATATCCAAAGTGGCTTGCAAGGTGTATTCACATCAGGGGTTTAAATGCTCAAGCAGTTTTGATATGGGAACATTACTGTTAATCAAGAACATGAGATGACTTTTGTTTTAAAAGAAGCTTCTTTACGAGAGAACACCACTTTTGCTCTAAAAAAAGCATAAAGTCAGTCCAGTCCTCCTACCTTTAAATCATACAGGAAGTTGTGTGTGATTTGTACAGAATTTTATAGCAGCAGATGTATGGGAGTTGAATCAAACCTGACTGCTTGCCCACTGCACTCTCTGACCTTCAGATATCTATCTGAGGCACTTTAAGTCAGAATCTGTGATTGTGGCTTGAGGACATGCAGGTCGCTTTCACTTTTTTGAAAATTGAATAGAAGCCCCTACTTAGGTGGGATAACAAATTACCTGAGTGAATGTCCATGTCATGGCTGCAGAAAATGATTCTGAATAAGATTCAGTGTCTTATTTTTTTAGTACTGACAGCAATTAAACATAATTCCTCCACACACTCCTATTAATGTAATGCAAAACATATCTCATTCTCACTACTGTGAAACAATAATGAAAATCACCTTTTCCAGATTTTTAATCTGCATAATTAACACTGGGTTTTTATGAGATTCATCCATATTAACTCTGCCAAACAAAAAACAAATCAATAAATGTGCAGAATGAACAGGTAACTGTTTGGAAGTCTCACTTCAAAAGCAATGTCGTCACTCAAGGGCATATATGATTATTATCCTCAAAAAGTCTGTCCCAACTGTTTCCAGTCACAAGCCATTTTGTTTAACAACATCAACAGAACACAGCCTTTCTCTGAAATCCATCACAAACAACTGTATTGAGAACCTAAACCTCTTTAAATCTGGCCAAATAAGCACCATGTGAAACTAATCCGAAGCCAAGAGCACACGTGTTTTGCTTTAGGCTAAGCTCTTGGCATTTAGCGACAAGGTCGACAAATAAGATTCCCTCACACACAGTGCACACATTTACACATAAAGATACAGCAGACAGAAGCCAAGATGAACAACACAAGTGGCGTTATACCACTGAGAACAGATGAATGCTTGTGTGATGGAGTCCTGATGAGGGGTTAGAAGGAAACACTTCCATCTGCTGTGCTTGCAGAAGGTGCTGTAAATGTTTACTTTGTGAACACAGGATAAAGACTCTGAAAGTGCATGGGTGAAATGTAGGTTTGACACAGGTAATGTGTGTGAGTGTGTAGGGCTGGATGATACACTGAATACTTCCTCACAATATATTTGTGATGGTTTTTGTGCTTGTTTGTTTTTTGGCTACATAAAATTAAGCAACATTGAGACTATCACAATGGTTTTTTGCTTTTTATTTGGCCATTAAGTTTCCTAAGGGCTGTGTCATTAGGTTAGTGTTGCTGATCATTAGCAATACAATATGGAAAGATATAATAGTTAGCCATATCACCATGTATGTGTCTGTGTGTGAGAGAAGTGAGGGTTACTTACAGTAGCATGTTCCTCTAAGTGGGTTGCCAAGGTAGCGATTTTCAGAGTCACATCTGCAGTAATTTAAAAGAAAGAACAATTAGTTTACCAATATAACGCATGCACACAAACAAACTAGATTTGGCACTTTTGACCCATCAACAGAGAAATAGTTCATCAAAAAAAAAAAGAAAATTCAGTCATTATTTACTATAGGTATACAACAAGACATTAGTTAATGTTTGAACTATTCATTTAAAATGTGTTTTAAAATGAGCTGTGCTCTAATCAGCATATTAGGATGATTTCTGAAGGATCATGTGACACTGAAGACTAGCGTAATGACTGCTGAAAATTCAACTTTGCCATCACATGAATAAATACAATTTTAAAATACATTTAAATAGAAAACTGTTATTTAAAACTGCAATAATATTTCACAATATTACTGTTTTAACTGCAGTTTTGATGAAATAAATGCAGTCTTGGTGAGTATAAGAGACTTTCAAAAACATTTAAAAAATGTTACCAACCCTAAACATTTGAACAGTAGTGTACATACTGTATCAAAGAACCAAAACTTGTTGGTATCAAACACTGAAACTACTACGCTGCTTTGTCTCAGAACGATGATTGTGAGTGTTTCTGGTTTGTGGGACTATAAAGGGCTGTGTGGTTGTATTTTTTATGGTGATTTTTCCCTATGCTGCAGGTAGTATATTCTAAGCTGAGCTTGAGATGATTATAGTGGACGGGCCGTCAGGTGCCCCGCTCCTCTGAGGCCTCAAGAGGAGGGTGAGACCACACTTCTGATCAATTCAGACTGACAAACCAAACAAAACCCTTTATGCTTTGCCAAAAGCACAAAACTATCACCCGACTCTCTCAGGATCAGAGAGATGAGCAAAAACCCTATGCGGAATATACAGCATAAATACACTTTTTATGCGGATGAGAAACATGCATCAGTTTAAACAGTGGGTTAGAGTAATGCTTAAGCTTTCATAAAAGAAAAACTATTGAGACAATCTTGTGTCAAGGGCATAGGTGTTGATAAGTTTTTGTGAAGCACATTTTCTTTTTAATGACCATTCTTGATAAAAATATATATTCAGTCAGGATTGTAAGAGATTGTGACAGACGTGAAGAGAGAGTCTGTCTGTGTGAAGAACACAGTGGCATGTCTGGTTTAGTTTAAAGCAAACACTCATTACTGGCATGTAAACACTGAGTGTTTATTATTCACCTCATGCTACAGAAGCAGTGAGTTCATGTGTGTGGATTCCGAGCTCAAACACACAGATGGATGGACGGACCAGCAGGGCAAACACGCATGATTAATCACCAAATTGCCCTTTGAAGTGCAGAAGTGGCCGAGGGCCTGAGAAAGAGTACTGCATTGAAATCATAGAAGAAAGAAAAAAGAAAGAAGGCTGCTTTTATTTTATAAAAAATACAACAAAAACAGTAATCATGTGAAATATTATTACAGTTTTAAATAACTGTTTTCTATTTTCATATATTTTAAAATGCAATTTATTCCTGTGATGGCAAAGCTGAATTTTCAGCATCATTACTCCAGTATTCAGTGTCACATGATCCTTCATATTGAAAAGAGTGCACTTAGTATTTTTGTGGAAACCGTGATACATTTTTATTTTTCAGGATTAGGCTACTTGATGAATAGAAAGTTCAAAAACATTTTTTTTTTTAAATATAAATCCTCAGTAAGATTATAAATGTCACTTTACTTTTACTTTTGATACTTTTGATCAATTTAAAACCTCCCCGCTGAATAAAAGTATTAATTTATTTAAAGGGGTCCTATTATGCTTTTTCAACATTAGTTAGTCTGTAATGTTGCTGTTTGAGCATAAAAAAGATCTGCAAAGTTACAAAGCTCAAAGTCCACTTCAAAAGGAGACATTTTATTTAACAGAAATCACTTTTCAAAAACTACAACGAACGACTCGTTTGGACTACAACGCATATTTTCCGGGATTTGTGATATCACAAATATCGACGAATGGGATGAGACCTGGTTGAGCTGCACTAGAGAAGGCAACGAGTGTTATCATCACTATGTCTGAGACACGCTAGCTTTCCCAAGGCAGACGAACTTAGAGTGGTTACAATCATCCGGGTTTAAATCGCGCTCAAATTGATTTGATTTTGACACAATATTTACACTAAAGCTTGCAGGCGGCTATGATAAGGGACATGACATTTCCCGACCAGGCGCCGAGTGCTGCAATCACAACACACACTGGCCCAGCTAACCAATCACAGCACATTCGTATTTCAGAAGGCGGGCCTTCATTTGATACACAAACTATTCGAGTCGTTCATGCCAGACTGGGGAGAGAGGTGTTGTAATAATGTAAAATATGTGAAAAATAATGTGTTTTTTGAACAACCTAGTATGAGAGCCTGTTCTAGTACACCCCCAAAACAAAATCAAGACTTTGTAAAAGAGCATAATAGGACCCCGTAAAAAAAAAAAAAAAAACCTTCCTGTCCAAACCAAACTTTTGAATGGTAGTGTAGTAATATGCATTACTATCTACGGGTAGGTTAGTCATTTAGTCAAGCAAGATAACTTAGGTGGAAAAAAAAAACAAGTAACAATAAATGTTTAAATTTAACCATTTATAGCTTTGGTTACATACACTACATAGTTGACATATAACATAAGACTTTAATTGCCAAATTACAGTTATAGTTCAGACAACAATTCAACAAAGCAATTTTTTTGACAATTACAAATCAGGCACTGGAAAAAAGTACCCGTTAAAACATCTTTTAGCCAATAGAATTGTTTTGGGTTCTGAGGTGAAAGTATTCTGTGGGAGGGCAGAATCGTGCATGACATCACCTCAGGACAAAAATAGGCATAAAAAAGGCAAAAATGGGTATACAAAGAAAGGCAGGCCCCTCCAGGGCTCCAATAAAATGATATTATTCCAGAGGAACATTTTTAATAATGAGTGTTCACCATGCACAGTGGGACAACCATACATGCTGTGCTCCGATTAACAAAACATTTCATTATATGCTTGCTTTTAAAACTCATATGTCTTCTTCATGGCTTTACACTGCACTGTGCCATACAGTACCCTACTGTTAAAGCTGTTTTCCTGTATTTTTATTTCATTAAAGAGATAGTTCACCCCAAAATTTAAATACTTTACTCACCCTCATGTCATTCCAAACCTGTATGAATTTTGAAGAATGTTGTCAATCAAACATTTTCAGTTCCCATTGACTTTTATAGTATTATTTTGTCCATATAACGGAGGTCAAAGGGACCCTAAACCATTTGGTTACCAACATTCTTCAAAAGCATCTTCTTCTATGTTCCACAGAAGAAAGAAATACATACAGGTTTGAAACAACACAAGGTTTGAAAACAGCAGGTGTCCTGCACCAGTTAGCCGAGCAACTGTCATTGCGATGAATGGAAATGCTAACACATAGCTAAGTTTTCTCCAGGTATTACTGACCTTCTTGCTGTTGAATGACAGCAGTCAGTCGGGCAACAGATTAAAGCAAGTGCACCCCAGTGCACCACAACATGAAGTCCAGAAAAGTGTGAAAGAAAGACATAAGACAGGAACTGAGAAAACAAATAAAGGGATGGAAAATGAAAACAGCAGGTGTCAAACAGTGGGCATGCCCTCTAGTCATCTGTCTAGTCCTACTGCTCTCTTAGTTTGAAGGAAAGGAAGAAGACAAACAGGTGAGAGAGAGTGGTACGCTAACTGCCCTTTGTTGATCCTTCTAGCCACACAGTAACAGGCCCTCATCCTGACTAAATAAACAGAATGTGTGTGGCGCCTGCACTCAGGAGACTGAATTAGCAGATAAATCCTCCGAGTACATTTCACACTGAGACAGCTCTGTGTGTGCGTGTCTCACAAAAGCATACGCAATAGTTGCTCGCAGGGTTTTAAGCGTTCTCGCTTGAGTACTCCTCAGGAGGGCCTGTCTAATTAAATAGCGGCTTCGTTGTGGATCAAAAGCGCATAAACACAAAATTTGAGACATTATAAAAATGGATATTAAGTTTAAATGAAACAAACATTAACATTAATGCAGATGTGATGAACAGGAAACTAAAATCCAAAAAATGGTGATTTATTAAGCACTAATAAATACAATTAATATAATTAATAACAACAATAACTACATGAGTAAACTAACTTTGTCTTGAGAGAACCTAGTCTGAAAGCTCAGACAGACAGACAGACAGACAGACAAATAGAGAGACAGACAGGCAGACAGATAGATAGATACAGTAGATAGATATGTTTTAGAAGCAGTACTGCCAGTTAGTTTTGCTCCACCAATGAAAATATTCTCAAACGACTCCAAAGCAACAATAAAACACAGGTGTTTTCCTGAAAGAATAGTACTGAATGAATATTTTCAGTGAATGATTCCATGACTCACAGTTTGCTCCTAAACTAATGTAAAAAATCAGTTGACTGTATGATTCAAATGACTCCCTCATAAAAACAGTCACTTGTCGCCACCTACTTGCAAAACCATGTAACCTACAGAAAGAGTGACTGAAAAATATCCACCACTGCAGTCTTTGAGACAAAATTTATTAGGCATCTTGTTTTACAAGCATTGTTTTGCACTCAGATAAGATAACAATGGGAAAGCTGTGAGATGAAAACATTAGAATGAATATGTTAGGTCCACCCAGTTGGCCCAATGAAGGTATCCAATGGTGGCTGAAGGTTTCCTGTGAGTTCAGTCTTTTCGGTGTGCCAGGTAATTTAGTTTCTATTAAACTCTAATCTGACTCTAATCTCTAATCTAATCTGTACACACTTGAATAAAGCAACATTGTCTCTAGTCAGAGGTCACAACCACTACTAAGAAATAAGCCGACTAACATTACTTTCTCTGATAGCTTTGGTTTGGTCGTGCAATGGTTTCCCATGTACACTTAGCTAGAGTAACATTACAGTAAACAGAGGTTAGGCTCACCCTATTTAGGTGGGTCAAACAACATTCAGTTGAACTAAACGGAAATTCTCTTTTGGCCCTTACAACCTAAGTA